AAAAAAAAAAAAAAAAAAAAAAGGCCGGGAATGTGGCTCAAGCCTGTAATCCCAGCACTTTGGGAGGCAGAGGTGTGCAGATCATGAGGTCAGGACTTCGAGACCAACCTGACCAATACGGTAAAACCTCGTCTCTACTAAAAATACAAAAATTAGCTGGGCATAGCGGCGGGCACCTGTAATCCCAGCTACTCAGGAAGCTGAGGCTGGAGAATTGCTTGAACCCGGGAGGAGGCCGCTGCAGTGGGCCGAGATCGCGCCACTGCACCCCACCGTGGGCGACAGCATGAGACTCTGTCTCAAAAAAACAAAAACAAAACAAAACAAAAAAAAACTTATTTGAACTCTAAGGGTCAAATCTGCCAAGTTAAAATTAATGTATTAGCCTCCAGAATATAATGCAGCCGGGCACGGTGGCTCACGCCTGTAATCCAGCATTTTGGGAGGCCGAGGCGGGTGGATCACGATGTCAAAAGATCGAGACCATCCTGGTCAACATGGTGAAACCCCGTCTCTACCAAAAATACAAAAAATCAGCTGGGCATGGTGGCGCGTGCCTGTAATCCCAGCGACTCAGGAAGCTGAGGCAGGAGAATTGCCTGAACCCAGGAGGCGGAGGTTGCGGTGAGCCGAGATCGCGCCATTGCACTCCAGCCTGGGTAACGAGAGCGAGACTCTGTCTCAAAACCAAAACAAAACAAAACAAAAGTATGAAGTAGGTCAATAAATATTAACATGGAACGATGCCCCAGACATATTTTACATAAAAGAGCAATTTTACATTCACATACAGAGGAGTAAATTTCTTCAATTGAAAAATCTTAAAAATGTTCACATAACCAGATGGCTTCACTAGTGAATTCCACCAATGTTTATACAAGAATTAAACCTTTCACAACGCCTTCCAAAAAACAGGAAAGACGATTTCCCAACTTATTCTATGAGATCAGTATTTTTACCCTGCATATAAGTCATAGTTCAACTGGAGAAAGATAAGGCATCAGCAGCAAATATACATTAAGAAATTCATTGCAGGGAATTGGCTTACACAATTTTCGAAATGTCTTGGCAAGTCGGAAAGGATGGCTGGGAACCCTTCAGTGTGAGATGATGCTGCTCTCCCTGGGCGGAATTTCCTCTTAAAGCCTCATCGGCTGGGAACCCTTCAGTGTGAGATGATGCTGCTCTCCCTGGGCGGAATTTCCTCTTAAAGCCTCATCTGATTGAATTAGGTTTACTCAGATTATAATCCCTTTTACTTAAAGACAATTGAGATGGATTTTAATTATATCTAAAAAGCCAGTAGCAAGGCCTGGCGTGGTGGCTCACACCGGTAATCCCAGCCACCGCACTCCAGCCTGGGCAACAGAGCAAGATTCCATCTCAAAATAAAATAAATACGCCGGTAGCACCTAGTGTTTGATTGAATTACTGGGGTCTGATTGAATTACTGGCCTGCCTGCGTTGCCACATTAAAGGCCATCATAACACTAATACTCAAACCAGACAGATACCTCCTCCAAAAAAGTATAGATTAATGTCCCTTATGAAAATGGAGGCAAAAACATCAACAAAATGCTAACAATTCAAAATCCAGCAACATAGTAAAAGGGTTACGCACCATAACCAAGTGGGATTTATTCTAGAAATAACCAGTGTGACTGGTTCAGTATAGGAAAATCAATGTAATACATCATAATAGAATAAAGGGAAAAAAACATGGGATCATCTCAACAGAGGTAGGCAAGGCTGTTTCTCTAAAATTTAAAGAGTGACCCTATGACCTAGCAATTGCCCCCTTTAAACAAAATACATTCTATCTATACAACAGACTATTATTTAGCCACAAAAAGAAATAAAATACTTATTAATGCTCAACATGGGTGAACATCGAACACACGCTAAATTGGGGGGCCAGGTGTGGTGACTCACACCTGCAATTTCAGCACTTTGGGAGGTCGAGGTGAGAGGATTGCTTGAGTCCAGCAGTTGAAAACCAGCTTGGGCGACATAGTGAGATCTCCTCTTCTTAAAAATAAAAAAAATGAGGCCGGGCATGGTGGCTCACGCCTGTAATCCCAGCACTTTGAGAGGCTGAGGCGGGCGGATCACAAGGTTAGGAGTTTGAGACCAGCCTGGCAAATATGGTGAAACCCTGTCTCTACTAAAAATACAAAAATTAGGTGGGCATGGCGGCTCATGACTGTAATCCCAGATACTGGGGAGGCTGAGGCAGGAGAATCTCTGAGGCAGAGGTTGCAGTGAGCCGAGATGGTGCTATAGCACTCCAGCCTGGGCAACAAGAGCGAAACTCCATCTCAAAAAATAATAATAATAAAAATTTTTTAAATGAGGTGAGAGGATCACTTGAGCCCAAGAAATTGAGGCTGCAGTGAGTCCTGATGGCGACACTATATTCCTGCCTGGGTGACAGAGTGAGGAAACCCTGCAGCAACAGGAAGAAAAAAAAACAAAAGAACAAGTGAAAGAAGTCAGATGCAAAAGTCAGACATTATATGACAATGTCCAGTATAGGCAAATCTATAGAGACTGAAAGTAAATTAGTGATTATCAGAGATTAGGGTGGGATAAAATTCGGAGTGTCTGCTAATTGGTGTACCTTTTCTTTTTTTAAAAATAAATTTAGGCCGGGCACGGTGGCTCACGCCTGTAATCCCAGCACTTTGGGAGGCTGAGGTGGGCAGATCATGAGGTCAAAAGATGGAGACCATCCTGGCCAACATGGTGAAACCTCATCTCTACTAAAAATACAAAAATTAGCTGGGCGTGGTCGCGCACACCTGTAGTCCCAGCTACTCGGGAGGCTGAGGCAGGAGAATTGCTTGAACCCGGGAGGCGGAGGTTGCAGTGAGCCGAGATCGCGCCACTGCACTCCAGCCTGGCACCTGGCGATGCAGTGAGACTCTGTCTCAAAAAAATAAATAAAAAAAATAAGTAAAAAATTAAAAAAATTATTTTTAAGAGATGGTGGCGTGGCAGTTCACTATGCTGTTGTTGGTCTTAAAATCCTCAGCTCGAGTGATCTGTCCATCTTGGCATTCTAAAGTGCTGTAATTACAGGCGTGAGCCACTGCAGCAGACCACAAGTTTTCTTTTGTTAGAAAAAAACAGCCGGGCGCGGTGGCTCAAGCCTGTAATCCCAGCACTTTGGGAGGCCGAGGCGGGTGGATCACGAGGTCAAGAGATCGAGACCATCCAGGTCAACATGGTGAAACCCCGTCTCTACCAAAAATACAAAAAATTAGCTGGGCATGGTGGCGC